AAGAGAGAAATGCTTGTAGAGCAAATAACGAGGAGCGTTTCTCCGCTCAGTTGAGAGAACAAGAATCCGACAATAGTTATCTCGTTATTCGAGATTCGTTGGACCGTGTTCCAAAGTTACACCGAAAACGCCCAAGGTAAAACGATCCTGCCAACTCGACGAATCGATGCATCCTAGCTAGTACCTATCTATGCCGTTACTTTTTCTGCATTAATCTCAACTGAATGTTCACTTTCACCTCGAATCGATGCAGCAGCAGCAGCATTTTGACGCAAGCTTGCGGTTCATTTTTACTACGATAGATCCGATCTAAAATACAAGTAAGGAGAATAGTCAACAGTTAAAAGTTTCTGCACCGACAAGATGAGTAGCCGAAAAAAGAAAAGAAAAGAAAAAAAAATCTATTACGTTATTTATCATAAAAACCATTCGCGCGATTATTTTTTAGAATGATTAAGCGGAATATTGGAAAACGTATGATCGCGTAAACAACTTTAAACCGAATAATCAGGGCACGCATCGTCGATGCTTTTATAATTTTCAAACGTCATTACGAACGCTGAATGAAAATTCAATGAGTCGATGTAGAAATACTCGTTGAATGAATGCAAAGCTTTTGTACTTAAATACCTAAGCAAATAAAACAAGATTTAAATGGAATTCAATTCGTTGTATACGAATTCGGCGTCAGCTCGCTCGCTTGCTCGCATAAATGCGCATATTGAAAAGATTGAAGTAAATATTATTCGTTTGTAAAACGCAAATGTCGATGGTGGTTTATTAACTGTGCGAGATGATTCGGATCTGTAGAAAGAGAACTCCTCCTCTATGGTTTGAAAAATCATTCGATGATATCGTCCATAGTAATTACGGTTGGTGTAAACAACCGGGAGAAAGAGAATCGAATAATATAACGATCGAATTAATTCGGGTCACGTAGGCATCCTACTTTCCAAACTATACTATCGATCATCAATTCGCTTAATATCACGGTAAGTGAAAAAGTCGTCGTTCGTTGTTTGGTGATCGATGTTATATTAAGCATTTGTAGTACTACTCTGGCCAATAAAGTGGTCAATAAAGTCTAACCTCTTTTTTTCCCGATCATATCATTAATAATCCCATAAAATATCAATAGGAAAAATCCATCGATCAAGACTAAAGAATAAAGTAAGAGTGCTGGAACAAGAAGTGATGAGAGTTGAGGAGAGAAAGAGGCGGAGGACAACAAACAGGCCATAACAGGAAAGATCGCGAGAAAGAGAGAAGTGGAAGGAACGTATGCAGGTTGCATGTACGCGTATTCCAAGAGTGGTTGGTAGAAGGAGTAGCTTGACTGGTAAGCCAGAGGAATAGAGAGGTAAAGAGGAGGAAAAGAGTGGCAGGCAAGCAAGCAAGCAAGGCAGGCAGGCAGACACACCACGTGCATCGACCGAGGTCTTTGTCACTGGAAACCACCGTGCTCGATTTCTCTCTTCTTCTACCTCTTTTTCTATTCTTCGTAACGCGAAGCCAAAGTTCTCCTATTTCGAAAAATCTACCAATGAAGATATCGAGTTCGATCGGCGAGAAAAATGCACGAGCGCGCCATGATAGAGATAATGTACGAGAGGTATAGGAAAATGTAAAAAATGCAAGTACAAATTTCGATTCGCATAATCGCGAACACGTGCGTTGTAATTTGACGTCAACAAAAGATAGTCCTATATGCATGACTACGTATCAGCTAAGATGTTTTATATTCAACATTTATGTTATTTTTAACGAGTATACCAGTTTCTCTAACCTTACTTCTTATTACTTATGTAATTTTTTGTATTTAATTTATCATGACAATGAAATTAATGTGTATATTTATGCGAAATTGCTTATCTCATAATACGTGGACAATCAAATCGAGCTGCGGTTCGATATCGCATAGAAAACTTTTCAAAGCAGAACAAAATTCCAACGTTTTCTTTTTCTCTTGCTTTCGACGAGGATACGTCAGGCCTGAAAGAGTAAAAAAAAAAAAAGAGGAGAGAGAGAGAGAGACAGAGAGAGAGGGAGAGAGAAGGAAAGCAATTTGCTTCTAGTCCGCGAACGAGTCGCAGTCCAAACTAATTACGGCGGTCTGCGCTTTGCAGCACAAAACAAAAGGGCGTTCATCGGAGCCGATGAACATTTATTGCAACAGAACCGAGGCGAGCACCAGAAATCTCGATGGAGTTGCGAGAGAAAAAGAAAAATGCCCTGGCTGCCTGTCCAAATTTCATCCGTAAAATGAACAAATCTATGACGAATCGTTCAAAGTAAAAAAAAAAAAAAAAAAACAAAAAAAGTATCATCCCCGGATAATTATTGCTAGCATTATTATTATTATTATCAAGGGAGTTATGACAGAGTTGCAATTATTCCTTCCGCAATTAATTAAACTAAACGAGCGCGGGAGATTTGACGGACGGACACTCATACACACAGAAACACACACACATATACGGTTTAGCCTTTTGCGGTGGGATGTCACTCTCGTGACGGCACTCGAGAGCCATGCGTTCCACTTTATCGGGGATTATCATGCACGAGGGGCTTATCAACGATATACGTATACTCTTTAATCGCTCTCCCTAACGATTATTCGCATTGGAAATTATTTACCGAATGTAACCAAGTCAAATTTTCCTAAAATCGTCTAAACAGCTCGTTTTCATTTGAGTTATGTATGGAAATATGTCGGGGCGAGTTTTGCTGCTCTCAAAGTTTTCCCTTCAACTGAAATCGTAGCTCCTGCTGCCTGCTACTGCTGCTGCTTTTGCTGCTGCTTCTGCTGCTGCTGCTTCTGCTTCTCTTCGTCGGATATAATCGGAGATTGCCACTTGAATTATCATCGATGCAAATCAGTCGACGGATCGAGTCTAATTTAGCTTATTCTCTTTGCTCGCTCTTAATAAAGTCCCTTTTAATGGACTTTAATAGCCGTCTCTTCATCTTCGAATACTTCCGTATAATACTCCGTAGTAGGAGAGTGAAAAAGGAAAAAAAATAATCTTTCAAGGCCGATGCCAGGCAACGCGTGACAAACTTTCCAAAGTATGCACACAGATTATATCTGTGGGATAGTTGCAAGTTTCCCGCCTTAAATCTGTCCTTCCACGAAGTCAAAAGTTCATCGCACGCTTCGGCTCATTTTTTACTCTCTCTCTCTCTCTCTCTCGCTCTCTCTCTCTCACTGCTTGTGTCAAATAATTGTAGCTTAGAAGGTGAAAGGGGGGTTGGGAAGGGAATCCGTCCAGACGAAAACTACTTTACTCAAACTCTTCCAGAGTAGATTTTCCTCTCAAACAAACTACACAGAGACATTTTGTTCCGGGCCTTTTTTTTGTTTTTGCATCCTTTGGAAAGAAAAGCAGTCACGGTCGACGTAACAAAAGACATCTGTACACGCGCGTGCTTCGTGTCGCGATGATATACATTCATTCCCTGTCTATTTTTCGCAATAAAAGAAAGATAGAAAAATAATCTCTCCCGTGTGTTGGTGCACTCGTCGGGTCGCGTTGACGAGAGCGAAAGAGAGAGAGAGATAAAAAGAAAATAAATGGCAGCAAGAGTGTAACGGACAGATGGACTTCATTTCCGTCAAATCGTAACGTACGAGAAGCAATCGAGCAATTATTACTGAAAGAAAAATATACCTGTCCTGCATGATAATAAATATAAAATCCAGTTATATAGAGGAGAGATAAAAACAAATTAAAGATGGAATGCATCCGGGCATACCATCTGTTTTTGCGTTGTCAAGACTACCAGTGCGCCTCGAACGTTGGCCACTGGTGGCCGAGAGGAGGGAAAGAAACGTAACCGCGACACCCTTCGTCTTTTCTGCGGATTCTCCCCCTTTCCCTCGACCAATCGTAGCATAACGCTCGTCGTCATAACGACCAAATGAGGAATGCGGGGAACAAATAAATAACCAAACGAAATAATAAATGCAAGCGGAGGAGTTGGTCGTAAAGAAACAAACGATTATTATATTATTCATTATCTCTATCTTCTTTAGGTTATATTTGAATATAGGTAATAAAGGGGTTTTGCCAAATAAAGGTCGTGCTGCCAAATGATTAAATCGATTAACGTTGTAGAGCAGCTAATAACGATAAAGCAAAATTCCATTCGGCTAGACGAGCACGTAATTCAAATGGTCGAAACACTTTAAAATTGCAATAGACGTCGTAGTATTATTACGTATAGGTGTCGTGTCGTCGTTGTCGTCGTGATTTCTTGAAAATGTGTGCGGCTCGCGTTGTTCAGGAGGGGAGGTAACTACGCGACGAGAAGGCAGAAATGAAGAGAAAGCGAAAGCAGAGACCGAGAGCGAGCGAGAGAGAAAGATAAATAGGGTGAGCGGTGAACTAACTGGGAAGCCTAGGACGAAAGAGAAAGATAGAAAATCGGCAGAAGGGGATAGACAAAGCCTCGACGCGCGTTCCCAAGTCCAGGCTCTACCTCTCGTGTGCGCGACGTGCATACCTACACACGCGCAAACAGTCCTTCTTTATACACAACAGCACGCATACAAGCAAAGGGGACGGCAGACAATATAGGCACAAGGCAAAAGGGAGAGAAAGAAGAGACCCCGACAAGCGATATCCTTTTTCGAGAGAGTCGTTCTACGAAAGGAAACAAAGCGTGGTTGTATGTGTAGCAGTGCCAGAGGAACAGAGAGAGAGAGAGAGAGAGAAAAAAGGGAGGGAGAGGATGCACGAGGATGAAACGTGCAGGTAGAAAAGCAACGCTCTCTCTCGCTTTCTCTCCTCTCCTCGCGGCACTCGTCGCAACGAAATAACGAACGAACGAAGAGAAACAAACAAATCGAGGAAAGGAGAACAAGACAAATTACGAGGGGAACGCGTCCAAATTCTAAAATGCGAGAGGAAGAAAGAGATATATATATATATATATATATATATATATGTAGCCATTAGGAAAGAGAAAGAAAGAGATTGTAGTTTTTCGTAGCTTACCCGACTGCCGGAAAGGTCGTGTAAGGAAACATCCTATTCTTCGCTTCCAGGCTCCTCGCTTTCCGCTCGCCCTTTCTCTTTCTCTCCCTTTATTTCAGTTAACTCCAAATATGCACAACAGGACAAAAATCTAACGTTCGCGCCGGGATAATATTTTGTTAATGTAGGTTTTCCCACGCGCTAGCCCTTCTCCTTCTCCTTTCAATGGATGCACGGGAGAATCCAAGGACGCGGGGAAGAAACGAGTCGACGACGACGACGACGACAACGACGAACAACGCGCGCGATGCCGATTACGAGGACGAGACTCGGCACAGCAAGCAAGTTCAAGGTCTCGGAGCACGCAGTATACAGAACACAGAGGAGAGCACTCTACGATGACCAGAGTTAATAGCTCGGGGAAAAATAAATCAAAAGAAATAAACGAATGAATTCCTCGATAATTGTTCGTTATTTCGGTGTTCTTTTGGTAACGCGCGGAACGAAACGAAACGATGCGAGGGCCGGCGCGCGATCGCGCGAGACAAAGGACGAAAGGGATCTGCGTGCAGCGCTCTAACCAGTCTCACGCGAAACCAAACGGTGCAGGAAAGAGAGGTAGAAAAAAAAACGGCAGATGCCACACGTACTACTATACCTCGTGTTTTGTTCACACGAAGCCACGCACGCACAGTCACACACTCGTAGTTCCAGACACCACTTTCTCGTATCTTTTCTTCTTCCTCTTCTTATTATTCTTTTTCTTCTTCTTCTTCTTCTTGCTATCCTTGCGGTTTCCTTCTTCAGTTGTGTTACGCGTGCGCGGAAAGGACGCGCGAAAATTCTTGCGATTCAAAAAATTGATTAAGACAAAAATAATAATTCGCGAGAGGAAGAGAGAGAGAGAAATAAATCGAGCAAAGCAAAGTGTTTAGGGTATTGGATGAACGCGTTGCTTTTATAAGAGAGTAAACAACAGTCTTGGAACAGAAGAAAAATATAAGAAAACGCTTAGAGTCTCCGTATCTCTCTCAACGAAATGCGTCAACTGTGCGCTCGCACCGGGTGCCGGTGCTCGAGTGGTGGGGGTAGCTCCTGCCTCGGCGAAGGCAGCAGTGGCGCCGCGCCGGCTGTTTCAAGGGAGGGGGAACACTGCTCGTTGGCTAACACACTTTTACTGGGGGATGGACTGCCTCGAGTTAGGTTAGATAGTCTGCGGGGGGATGAATATGACGTGAGCGCACCCTCTAACGCACAACGGCCGACGTGCGTACTAACGGCCCTTCTCCTTTTTTCCTTTTTCTTTTTCTTTCTCCCTTCTCCTCCTTCAACAAATTCTTCTGAAAGTTTGTTCTTACGACTTTTAATACATTTTCCTACACTCGATATCGTTCTCGTTCTCGTTTTTACGGTACCTACAAATGGCCATTATCGTTGGAAACTGTGCGAAAAACAAGCGCAACTATAAATTATTTCAAACTTTGAGAAGAGCAAAGAAAATTTGTTTAAGAAATAAAAGCTAGGAGCTAGCCGTCGTCGTTTGAGTTGGAGAAAGGTTTCGCGTATGGTATGCAACTACTACCATGACGTTTGCCTACGCAAATAACGACCCGCTAAATTCTATACGAACAAACACGATCGATCAAAACTCTCTACGAACGAAACAAACGTATATATCTTTCGGAATATGTTTTATTATAATAGAAAATATCGACGCGATCGACGTGTACCAATTCGTAGTACCTCTGCCCTTCGACAGAGGACCCTGCATCGTTAAATAAGCTATAATCCGTAGTGACACGGCACTGGCCAAAATTATGACGCGTCCCTTCGGTCGGTAAGCTGTTTGCTAGCTTAATCAAATTAATTACAGATATTCATATGTATATATACTACCACATGTATGATGGCGTATAAGTGGTAGCGTTTAAATATCGCGTCATTTATACCGGACTCGGTGGCAGCGCGGTATCTTCTCTATCTCCCTCTTGATCTCTACTCTTCGCGAAATTGCATCGTAACAGATAGTTCGAATAATTTTAAACCGTACGAAAGGACAAAAGTGACAGGGAAAAATGATGAAATATGTGTATTTATCCGCGCAAGATTTCGCAACAAAGACCACGACACGCGCGAAGACTTTGACGCTTCGGTTCTCTCGACGTTGGAGGGAAACTGCGGTGAAGGGAAAAAAAGGGAAGCACGCGTACATAAATACATATATAGATAAGTAAGTGTTCGCACAAAGGTAATACGTGGGTTCGCAGGGAAACCGGTAAAGTGCCGCGGTGTTGGTTACACCGTGGGTCGACGCCATGAGTTATGCAACCGTAAGACTTGTATGGTTTGTTGGTTTATATGCTCGTAGGAGAAGGAGTTTGACAGAATTATTATCTCTCTCTCTCTGTCTAAAAGATATATCTAAAGATCTTAGTAAAGCTAGCAAGCAGATCAACATTTCCTCCTTGTTTTTATCCCTCTTGGACCACACGGGGAGCCGATAGGAGGAGGATAGGTCACGATCGGAAATAGCTGGCCAGCCTCCAAATCGTCGGACAGATTCCGAGCGTGCGAGGAACGTCTCAAGGTGAATGCGTTGACCCTATTCGGTAAATATACGCAACTACGTATGCACGTTCTGACCATATGCAGAAAAGAACAAAACTGGACTAGACGGGATTATAACTTCTTCCCTAGCAGAAATGTACTCGAAATCAAAGTCATCGCGTGCTGCTCCTACGTATTCCGATTAAAGATTATTTCGCGATAGGAGCGCGCATACATATGCAAAACTCGATCGAACGGGGAAAGAAAAACGTTGGACTGGTGGAATGTTGTAAAAATTGCAGAATTGTGCGCGCGAAACTAATTCCACTCGAGTCGTCGAGAACAAAAAACAGGAAGCGTTCACTCGCGGTGTTTCCTATCTGCAATACGAGCTCCCTTTAAGAGGATTCTAAAGAGAAAGAGATGAGACACCTGGGGTGACCCGTTCGACGGCACTCCTCGTGCTTCCCCGTGACTGCAATCGCGTCGCTTTCACCCTCCAGCCACGTGTTTCCCTTTATTCTCGATATACACATTGTACGCATAGTGTATACTCCTCGATGCATATGAACACAGATGACGAGGATGGTGATCGTAGCACAATTTTATTACGCAAATTCGATTTATCTCGTCTCTATCTCTTTGGCGAGGAACAGCTAACTGTTTCACGGACTAACAGACGCAAAGAATTCTTGAATTTCTTGATAAGAAAGAGGATCCCGAGCATAAATAATCAGCGGACTACTGTTCCAGATAGTCATTGCACTTTTCGCGTTTTCGTATGTAGTAGGTAGATAGATCTTGGCAAGCCACAACTACATCAGCCACGCACATTCGGCCGCGATCGTTACGCCGTGTAACTCGGCTCCGGTGAAAGCTATCTGGGTTATTTTACAAAGGAACTCATCCGAGGGAGCTCTTAACAAGTGCTGCGGGTCGTACAGGAGAGAGAGAGAGAGAGAGAGAGAGAGAAAGAAAAAGGGAATGAAACAAACGCGGTAACGATTTTGTGTCGACAAAAGCAAGCGGCCGTTTGCAATTTCACCAAATGGAACTTTACTTTAATGCTCCAAACAGCAAGATAAGTAAAGGACGAGGCATTAAAAATATCTATGTTGCATCAAACGCGCGTTTCTCGTGTCATACGAATTAGAAAAGCACGAGTAGGGATCTCTTAGCGTATAAACTAGGAGACAAGGTAATTATCCGTTTACTATCTTCTCAAGCATTAACTCGCATTGGAATATCGAAAATGAAGGAACGATTAATAGGCAGTCAAGTTCGAATTTTAAACGATCGCCAGTGGCAGCTAGCGCCGTTTGAATATCACGGAAATTGAAACTATAAATTCTGCGATCCCATAAATTCCGTGACTTACCGAGCGTAAACTCTGTTCTCTCTCTCTCTCTCTCTCTCTCTTCTATCCACTAGGGTATGGGAAAGAGAGAAACAGAAAGAGAGAGAGAGAGAGAGAAAGTCGTAAGTACTGTGAAATAACGAGCGCGAGCTAGCTAGCTAGCTAGCTAGCTACCACTTCGGAACATTCTCACCTCGAGACTACGAGTCCGAAAGGCCTCTTACTTACGAAGATTCATTTTATCATTCTCCTCTCGTATCGTATACGCGAATAACAGGTAGTCTACGTGACGCGAAAGAATTGTCAGCAGAGAAATCTAATAATAAGCGAACGAATATTTACTTTTTAACTAACAATAATAATTTAACGTTCACAATCTTGAAAAGCCTTTAACTCTGGGAAAAGAGAAAGGTTTATTTTGTTGTTTCGTAATATTTGGAAGAATCGAATAGGCAAATGCTAAGTTGTAAATAGTAAAATGGCGCTTGGTTGATCGTTCGAACGAGAGAGAAAGAGAGAGAGAGAGAGAGAGATCGAAAATGGTTCTTGCTGGTAGCGAACGTAAGTACGTATTCTCGTCACGACGAGTTGCACCGGGTGGTACGGCGTGCCAGACACGAGCCGGTCTTTACTACTGGCTACCCCTGCTACTACCACTACTACTACACACCCTTCTCACCCTTAGTCTCGTTCGACCTCACCCTTCGTTGTCGGAACACTCACTTAACTTCCATCCTTCCTCCTCCTCCTCCTCCTCCTTCTTCGTTGAGACTTTGCAAGATTTTCCTTCTTATCGCATTTTCCTTTTCTCTCTCTCTCTCTCTCTCTCTCTCTCTCTCTCACAGTTTTGTCGAAGCTTATCCCTTCCCGCAGCTTTGCTTAATTTTACCCACCGCTTACTCGCGACACGTGTATAGAAATAAACACGTTTCCTAATTTGTGTCCGACATTATTTCGTTCGGTTGTTACAAAATTTGGATATCTTTCGATCCCTTTTATCTTAAGGATCTTTTGGAAATATATCGATAAACCTTCCAGCCATGAGATTGTGTCAACGAGCTAAGTATATCCTGGCAGAGATATCGTCCGACGCGATCGTTAGCAGAGTTCGTCCTTCGTCGTACCATCGAGTTTCTGGCCCCATTGTCGTGCTCGATACCGTATCGATTCTAAGGAACTCGAGGTGGGGTTGCGAGTAGAATAAAGAGAAACGGAATGGAGAGGAGAACCGATGGAAAAGAGAAAACAAGTGTGGAAAGGGGAGAAAATGTTGGTGGAAAAAAAAAAAAGAGAGACAGAGAGAGAGAGAGAGAAATGGATAGTATAAAAGTACGCGGGCCCGGCCCTGTTCGTTACTCTTATCGGAAACCGGAAGCAGTATCGACAGCCCTGAGGTCACTCAGATCGAAGATTTTTCGATTGTTGCCTCCCACGAATACTCTGACAAAAGAAATCGGAGAAAAGTCGGTCGGTCAGGTCGGGTCGGGTGGTGGTGGTCCAAGGGAAAGGAAGAAGGAAGCAAAAAGTATCTATATATCTCGCTAAGGGGGTGGCCCTACCTTCGAGTTTACAATTATAGCTGATGACGACATTCGATAGTAGCTCCACCGTTTCTCGACCCCCACCACCCACTTTTCATCCTTTTCGTTGTAAACGTTTCTAAAAATCAAACAAGAGATCCGTGAAGAAGAAGAAGAAGAAAGTCTTCCAACTCGGGGACAAGCGCGATTAGAAAATCGATCTAAATCAAAGAAATATGCGAAGAAACGTCGTAGATTATCGCGAAAGTGGGTTAACGCATCGGTTGCGCACGAATTAACAACACACCTGACTAACTTGCATTCGACGTTTACGTCTAACGCTTTCCTTTTACTCCACCTCTAATATTTGGTTCCTCTTCGTTAATCACGGAAATGTTTTATTATCATTTGGAAACTCCT